GTGTCACGAAGGATATAATTTACAGAGTAATATGGCGCAAAAGGCGGTCTATATCGCTCTAGCAATCTTTTATAGACTTTCTTGAACTAACCCAAGCCATGACATAAACGTAGTGATTACTTGCTCAAATGCTCAGTGATATATGTGCTAATTTTATTTCTGGCGAAACCATTTAAAAAAGGAAGGATATTCTAAATTTAAATGTAAGACCACAGTTTACACTCAATTAGTTATGCAAAATGATAAACATTAAAACACTTTCAAGTTAAAAAGTCACATTTATTATTTCCAAAGGAATTTTACATTATACGTAAACAAAATTTTCACTTAAATTATTATGCTTTCATTGTTATTACAACATAAAAAATTACATGGTACTATGAAATAATCTAGTCACCAAATAACGGTAACTGTATGTTACTTTGATATTTAATAGTTTATTTATAATGTGCAGGCAAAACACAAAATTAGAAAAACGGCCATTCATTTATCGTGCTAATACTTACTGAATTATCAAAAATCTTAAGACGGATAAAAATAGTTTAATCGGTGGGATGGAATCTTTATACGGTTTAACAAATTATTATTTGTTGATATTGCCTTTTGTTTAAAGAATTTTACATATAAATTATAGGACCTACCTCTCGAGTAACAATTATTGTATCTATGTAAAAAAAAACTTTATACCTCTCGATCAAAATATCAATTGATAATCAACTTTTCTTTTTATATTTTGCTCTGTTGTAAAATGTAAAAAGATGAAAATCTCTATGTCTCTTTGTCTATACTGTGAGAGGGATTTGGCGCGAAAGAAAAAAATTACAGACATTACTCATTAGTATTAGACATGTACGCTTACTAATCTAGTACACAGCTGAAATCTTTTCATCGATGTGCTTATAAAAGGGAAATTTAAAATTTTCATTTATTACGTAATTTTGTTTCTTTATATGTACGTTAAAGAGTATTAATTATATAAGAGAGAACGTAGTTTTTTAATTTTTGATCATAATCAATGTAATTCTATAAATATAATCAATGTCAACTTATTGCGCTTCTCGTCAATAAGCAATAAATTAAAAAAAAAACAATTTTGTAGTCTGTGTTATGACGTATTTGCGTACGTACTTTTACTTTGATTGAGTGAAGTCAGTGATTTTTACGATAAATATAAAAGAATTAGATATTTAGAATATTTCTTAAATATATATTTCAGATATAACATATAATATTGGTATACTGATATTAATTTTCGGATGCAACATCTGTTTTATCATAAGTTTCGTCTGAAATTTTTATTTTTTTTATTTACTATAAATAATTTGTTCCTTAAAGACGAGGTAATTGCGCCGTGGCTTGTAATTTTCCTTGTATTTAAAAAATATAATTAAAAATTATTTTGATCAAATATAAAATATGTCTTATTACACACGAATGTCAACATAATATCAAAGTTTGTCATACAATTATAATATCTAATAAATATATTTTCCATTCAAATAACATTTCTTCCAACCTACTCGAGTAAGCTTCTGCAATAATAACCTTTTAATTTTTTTATCATATCCAACAATTTTTATATGTGTACTTAGAAGTAGGTATATTTATTTTTATTATATAGGTAGGCATATATAATATCCATTTTTCCACTTTTAAAGTGTTTCGATAACCCGTTATCATTATTATTTCATAATTTTATACGAACAAAAAATTATATCTGTAGGTAGCTATATTCTGTGGAACATACAAATAATGAAATTTAAAAAATAAATTACTTATTATTTCAGTCCGCGAGATATTTTCTTTAACATATTTCCAAAGACCACATCAGAGACAATAAATATAATATGATTTTTCTCGATAGTAACAAAAAAAAAAAACAAAAATATTACATGGCCTTTGCTATCAATATTATTATTTTATTATTTGTATTTGGTAGACAGATATTATATTGTTCTTTTTCTCATTATTAGAAGCTGTAATTCTTTGTAAGAGTATTAAGGTAATCCTTGTTAGAAACATCAAATAGAATCCTGTTCATGTTTTTTTTTTAATTTAGTTATGGCTTATTCTGCGGTGAACCGTGAGCTTCTTGTAAACAGATTTCAATGATATTCAGAATGATAATGCTGTTGATTATTAAATTAAAATATACATTGTTATTAATGTAATTGAAATATTTTGAAGTGACTGCCCATTATAATTGGTATATTACATTTAAATACAAGGCGCATTTGTTAAATACTTAATACAGTGGAAAAACAAAAAAGTATAGTCTATACCAAGAAACAAAAAAAAAACAATTAATTGATACACATTGATTCTTAATTTTAATGACTTGATTCCCAAATAAAATATAATACAGTTAGATTTACATAGACGTTTCTTTAATCTTTTTTCTTTAATGTTTCTTGAATGTGTTAATTTTATTAAAACAAATGGAAAAATCATCTTTCACGCGTAATCACCTTTTATTACTATAAAGATTTTTATTGTGTAAAAAAAGGTTTAGATTGCCAGAAATTAAAATTACTAAGTAATTTAGTACAGACACCTTGCATTAAATATAAAATAGCCAATTCTTTCAATTACAATAGAAATAACCTACAAAACTATGATAATTTGTCATGTTACGTGTAATTAAAATTAATAATAATTTAAACTATCATAATTATCAAATTTTAATAACATAAAAGCTCGATTTTTCGTAAAATATACGTTACATATATTTATATGTATACTTACATTAAGTTGAACTAGTATGGCAACTCTTTGTATATTATACTTAGCTATATATTTACAATATATACATTCATTTACATACTATATATTTATATATCATCTACATGTCCTAGTCCGTTTGCACAATTACGTCTTTACAAAAAATAAAAAAAAATAACGTTACAATTATGTTTTTTAAATAGACTAACAAAAAATATGCAATGCACAGAAGATGTAATTGCTAGTATTCAGTTATAATCTATGACGTTCCTATATTGTTTATGGAGGGCTAGAATTAATAGACAATTCCAAAACGAAATTATGCATAAGTACCAATCACAAATAAGGTAACCATAAAAATGACAATCACTAGATATTTTTTCCTCCATTGTGAAAATCTTAAGGTTTGTTTATGGAGGCTAACTTAGCCTCTCCATAGATTATGCAGGTGTAAAGTAAAGTTTAGTTAGGACTGCACTAGTATTTAGTCAAGTAGCGAGTAATTTAGCATGTAACGAGTATCAAATTACTCAACAAAATTAAAAAAGAATCTAAATGTAGTTGGTTTATTTTATTCAGATACTGACTTCTATTGTAACGAAATTAGGAAATCCTATGGATTGTATAATGATTTATTTGATAGATATTGGTGTAAAATAGGTATAGATTGCTCGTTATTTGACTAAAATACTAGGCGTAGTCCAAACTAGAATAATAGAAATTAAATTGCTTATTTACTACTATTTATTTATTGACTCAGAAACTTTTTATTAAACTACTATGTTTACAGACAAATTACGAATAAAATAACCACCCTGGGTAACCAAATAAAAATTTGTGTATCAATCATAGTAAAATATCTCGATATTTCAACATTAATATACATTTTTTGTCACATATGCATGATTAAAGAACTTCTTCTATTCTTCATTTTTTATTAATGGCAACTCATGATTAAACTTAATGCGCTACGTACACTTATAATATTCATTAAGAAATATAAAAGTGCAGTAGTGTTATCTATTAATATTGTTAATATTTTTCAAATATTACCATATTGCTGTATTACAGAAGTTGCCAGTATTTGTCGCATTGAAATTCTAAGCTTCCAATTAGGCAGTAGGTATTAATCATTCAAATATTTTTTATCTATTTTTGTCAATTATATACTTTAAAAATTCAGTCTTAAACATCTTTGGAAGATGCAACGGCAGAGCTAACAATTTACTAATCAGAAATTGACATATGCACTTAATTAGCTAATTTCTATTAAAAAAACCAAATCTATTGATGATTTTTACTGTTAATAAAAATATAATCATCAATCATGTCACTTCTAATCATGTACCTACTAATGTATTTTTTTATCATTGGCAAAAACATATTTATTATAATTTAAATAACTATCAATAAAAAAAAGTTAAGTATTATGTAAATGCATGAATAATATATTTTTTCATTCTTTTGATTGGAGTGATAAATATGAAATCACTACAAAGGTTTACAATACAATATACACAGTGATTTTCAATATTGGTATGGAAAAACATAAAACATGTTCGAGGACGCACTGAAATATGTACGTATGTATACCAATACAGAATATAACAGATACAAAAAAAGGTGGAAGCATGCAAATTTTTATTTCTATTTTTTGCCATTAAAACACGATATTGAAAAACAATTTAATAGAACAATATGTTCCATGACAGTTTAACACATGTTATCGATATTACAATGGTTTGACATAAACGGAATGACAATATAAAATATTAACTATATTCTTTTAACGATTAAAAAAATATATAATCATGTAATTTAGCAATTTTAATTATATTTTCTTTAATAAAACCTTTTTGACGTATCTAATTATATCAAATGTAGCATTTTTTATTTTAATAAGTTTGTTTTTAAAAATAATTAATTACATATATAATGAAGTAGTGGGTAACACCGAAACATAATGTATTTCAGTTAAAATTGCTGAGTATATTTTATATCTCAAAATTAACAATTATTCATACATAAAATGAATTAATTATAAAAACACTGGTTTCCGTAAAATAACGAATAAGTCCACAACACAGTCGTACCTATTAATTAAAAATTATAAAAGAAAAATAAGAGGCAAAGTCAAAACAACATTCAGCCATACTTCACAATCGAAATATCACGGACGGGTCTGACAATCTGTACACGATTATAGCGACTATAATTTCTACAATTTACACTATCACTTTGGTTCGTGTCTAACGTGTTTAACGTTAGAACACGTTCGTTTGTGCATCGCTCAACCGCACTCGTGATTGGCAATTTTGACTTGTTCTAAATTGGTCTCGGTTGATTTCGTTGCACTAGTTTTCTGTTCACTGTGTGAATTTGTAGAGTTTCCTGGAATAGATTGTATTTTTTTAGTTCTTCCTACACCAACTAATTGACAGTAGTTAGAAGTTTCAAAGGCGGAACAGTGAAATACATGGAGTAACCATTGTGGGGGATTGAAACATCTAATTGACAGATGGTTTATTTTTAAACTTCCCGTAATAGTTGTACGTTTTTCATTTAATAACCATTCAGTGTTAAATAATCATAGCTGTTTAGCACACTTCCTGCCAATAGCCGCGGGTTCGATTTCTGTACAATACAAACATTTGAATTCACGGCTGTCTGTTTGTTTTGGTCTGGGTGATTTTCCATCTAAAGATATTATTTACAAAAACCATTTAAGTATGTCTACCAGATGTCTATACGCGTAATACAAGTGGATAAATCAAGGTGGTAAGTCAAGTTTGGAATCAAATAGTGGCATTTAATTCCAAACTTGACTTACCACCTTGACTTGACCACTTGTGTTACCTACTCGTAGGAATAGTCAAAGGTTATTGTTTTTTTTCTTTTTAATTATTAATGCAGAGTACAAAAAAATTGCTCGTGTAATTCTTTGATAATACAAATGTTTTAATATATATGATTTTTTAAATTTGCATAGATTAAGCAAATTTAAAAAATCATACTGTGGCCTGGACTCGATATTATGGATAACTCAAAAACTATACTGGTCAGATATTGATCAAATTTATATGAAACTACACAAGTGGCACCAGCTTACAATTACAAAATCGAAATAGGTTCCAGTAGACAAAAGTACTGAGGTGCATACAAATAAAAAAATCGATTTGAGATTTCCTACTCCTTTTTTAAAGTCGGTTGTAATATCATTGTAACATCAGTCTGGAAACTTACCACTTAACCTAGACGGTTTCAAATGCGGTAGTGTGTTTGTCGGCCTGTCCAACATGTTCTTACTATAATAAACACTGTTATTCTCAGTGTTAAATCTAACTGGCGGGGAGTTGGAACAACTCCTCGAGTCCTGCTTCTGCAGCCTCGGGTCCAGGGTGTACCGGGGCTCCAGCTCCGGCATTTGAGTTAGATTTAGTGGATTCCTGTTTGGGTTGCTGTATAAAGCTGGTGGTGGTGGAGTGGAGTATAATTCAGGTGGCATCAGCTGTTCTACTGGCAGCTGGAAGAAGAGAAACCTTCAGTATGATCATCTGGAGTGGTGAAACCTCTTTGATTGAACTTTTTATTTTTAAAAACTGTAATACATTACAAACTTCTGAAAATTCTTTTTTTCAGACTAATCTAATGATGAATGCAGATTGGAGTGAAATTACAAGATAAAAGCTATCATAGTGCTCTGGAATGGCAACATGGGTGTCATATGATAACGTGATCATGGTGGGTCGATAGCTTCTTTGTCAATGCAATTATATTAAAAAAATATAAAATATTAAAATATAAAAAAACATTAAAATTTTTATCTACATAAAATTATTTGTATACAATTCTAATAACTTACCAAACCAGTAGTATTCAATGGTAATGCATTCTTATATTTCAACCAATCCTCATACACTTTATCATAAGGTTGTCTATGGCAATCATTTGCACCAACATTTGGCATATGCAGACTGCTCATTGGTCCCAAACTTTGTATACTTGGCCCAAGGTTGGGCATCGGCGCCAAGTTCGTCTGATAGGTCGGTCGGATCCGATAGTCCATTGGTCGAACTTGTATATATTGGCTGCAGGGGTCTATGTTATGGTCATAAAATCTATCGCAGTTGGTAGCTTCGTATTTTTCTGATGGTGTTTTTGATATAAGCGGTCTTATTGAGCTATAGTCTGTAGTTGATGATTTGTTTGAGCAACTATCACTTATTTTACCATCTAGAGGTATGATATCAGGGTTTTTGTCTGAAAAAAAAATTATAGGTACATTACAAAATTTCTTTTTGAAATTAGGTAACCTGTTTTACTGGTATATGGAACTAAAGTAAACAAAGCAGCAACAAAAACAAAAGTGGTTGTACATATATGCATAAACCTACGTTCGTGTGTGTTTGTGTATGTCGAAGCGCTAACTGAACAGGTCTTTGCACAGCATAATCATGTAGCATATGTAGCGCTGTAGCGCTGTATTTCAGCACAAAACCTGGTGTAGTGTTGTGCCGTTTGTACCCAGCTCATAAAAAATTAAACTATTATACATCATTACATAAAATTCTTTATTAAACATGGTTTAAGAATTCAATGTGTGATTACTCAAACGCAGATAATGTTAGCCATAATTGGTAATTTTTGGCAAATTTTTCTTCTCTTAACTTAAATTAAGATAGGTAAGGAAATTACTTAACTTAATTTATTAGGTAGTTAAAATGTATAATTCTAACCCATTGCTACTTACCTAGACTGTCCACGCTTTCTGATTCCTTGGTACCCGTGAGTGGTATATTGGACGTCTCGTCTTGCCTTCGTTTGTCTTTCTCGTTCTTCCCTGTGCCAAATAGGAATTAATTATTAGTTACCACAACAATAACATTATAATGTATAAAAATCATATATTTTCTAGCTCTGTAAACAATTATTTGAAAATTGATTTTCCATATTTGGAATACGTTAAGGTCCGCCCGCTTAGAGTTTGTTTATCTGACAAGTCGGGATCGCATGGGCGAAGTAACTTTAAACTGACATACGTACATAGTTTTTAAAAGTCAAAGTACATCAAACTGCAAATAAAAGATATTTATAATTTTGCCGTAAATTGTACGTCAGTTCAAAGTTACATCGCCCATTCGATCCTGACCTGTCCGAAACGCACACTCCGAGCGGCCGGACTGTAAACATGTACACTATTTAAATGCTGTTATTTTTAATAGATTAATTAAAAAGCAATCATATTTATGTTAATCTAGTGCCTGCAGTTAAAGCCGTGTGACATTTATAGCCTGTGTTATTCTGATGTATAAGCTATATTATTGTATTTCATTAAAATCCATTCAGTAGATTTTGCGAGAACGATTAACAAATATCCTTTCATCCCTCTGACCACATTCCCAAACTTCCGCGTTTATAATATAGTATTAGTAAGAGTAATGAGTATTTATTGCCACTTACTGTCTCGTCTATTGCAGTATCTACAACAGAAAATTGTGGCGGAAATAGCGGTCATGGCAGCTATGATGCCTACAGCTGCCAGCACCACAATGAGCACCGTCGTTAATTCCACCTTCACGGGAACTTGTGCTGCAAGGAAGGTTGCTATATTGAACGCAATAAGTTTTGATTAAAAAAACACCAATAAGTCAGTTAAGCCGCTTCTAAATCTAAAGCATAGACAAAATACAAAATTTAAAGACTATATTAATAACCGAGGTAAAAAAAAAGGGTTAAATTCGATTTTTTTTGTGTTGCCGCATAACTTTTTTTTACGTGAACCGATTTCCGTAATTCTTTTTTATTTGATTTTAAATTGCTTTTATTTTATCCTTTATCTCAATTAAACAAGGAAACGAAGTCGAAGTAAATAGTTAGTAAAGTATTACTAACTATATATGTGCAACAATTTGCAACAATTGTAATAATATATAACGTTTCAAAGAACGTAGCATCCCTAATGCATCCAGCGTTTGGCCCTCTGATCGATCCCCCTTTCCATTCAAACGGGGATCGAAATGAGCTTGAGCCGAGTCTCGAATCCCTAGCGGTGCCCTCAGACTAAAGTCATATCCGTTAGGCATCCGTCCATAAGTTCTTCCGTGGGATTGTAGTGTCATCTGCACTCGCCCCCTATCGTCTGGTGAAGCTGTAAAGGCCGCTGCGGCCAACAGTATCAGAGTAGTCCGAAAAAAATCTGTCTAGCGACATGTAATTATTTAAACCAGACGTTTCTTTCCACTTGTATTACAATGACGGAACGGAACAATAACTCCATTGGCGTTTGAAACTTAAAAAACAAAAGTTGGCCCTATCAAGAACTCCGTAAAACAGATACAAATCATATTATCCGACAAAATAAAGTTGTAATTTGTTTGTCGCGCAAAAACATAAAGTACTTCCTGATTTACTGTACTTTTAAAAGGAAAGTATTATAACTTTAGAAGAGTTCTTGCGGAGTTTTTAACACTTTCAATCACAGTCGAAAGTTCTAAGGAACACTGAAATGAATTATTTACGAATAGATAACGGGACTCTTTGAATAAACAAAAGTTTTCAATTGAATAATAAGATCAAAGAATTAAGATATTGTTAAAAAAACAAATTAAGAAATAATTGGCGGTTGTACACTGAAATATCTAATACAAACGCTGTCACAACTGTTCAATTCAAACGCTAGCTAAGAGTAGAATGTAAATTGTGAAGGCTCTTAAACTTACACGCCATGTCTCAATGTATTGGGATATACTAGTCGGAGTTTCTCTTCCTTGTCACCCGTTGGAGACTGACTGACTGACTCGAGATCCGCATTGTAATACTCGTGGATTGACACGCAAATGCTAAGAAATTTGTCCCTAATATAATAAAATTTCAGGGAGTCCGGTGAAATGCTGTTGATCGTCGGAAATTTCTCGTCGTGTGCTTACTTACTACAAATAATAAAGTGTTCAGGCCACGAAAACATTTTAGTGGGTAAGAATCCCACAGTATCCGTCAGAAATCTCTTCAGCGGCCGGTGTTTTATAAACATTTTTCCTTGTTAAAAAAGACCATGAAAAGACAGATTCAATGGTACTATTAAGGATAAATCAAAAGCTACTGGTCAGATCTTGATCAAATTTAATGAAACATGAAAAAACTTTAGCTATCAAATGAAAAAAGAATTATAAAAATCGGATGACACAGTAAAAAGCTTCAAAGTGACACACTAAAAATGTTAGAGTCCTCGATTTTTTAAATTGGTTGAAAATACTTTAATAATAACATAACCGACCGTTCCTTGAGGCAATTTGGGCAATTATTTTATAAAGCTTTAAATGGGATTAAATCCAGAATTTTGCGTTATTTTCGAATCGGTTGCGTTTTTGATCCTGAGTAGATTTTCTGCAAATTGTCCGTTCGAATTCAACATATTAAAAGATTTTTTTATCGGACTACTCTAATGCTGTTCGCCGCAGCTGGCCTTTACAGCTTCACCTGACGATAGGGGGCGCGTGCAGATGGCACTACAAACCCACGGAAAGACTTATGGAGCGGCTGAAGGCCAACTCCCGCCTGGCGGATATGTTTAGTCTGAGGACACCGCTAGGGGTTCGTACCTCGGTTCAGGTCGTCGTAATTATTACTAATGTTCAATATATATACTAACCCGTATGCCGCTGCGGATATTTCAGTAAGCTCGACGTTAAGGTCAGGGGCTCGCTGGACCCCTTCTTGTTGAACGCTCTCACGGACACCGCGAGAGCGTTGCTGGCGGCGAGACCCGACACTTCAAACTCTGGTTCATCGTTGCTAATATTGCGTAGGAGCAGGCCCGTTGTCATATCGAACACCTAATATATAAAATCTAATTAGTAATTATTACAATGATTGTCAAATATTCCATTTTAATCTTAATATTATAATTTGTATTTAATACTAATTATAAGAATGTAAATACAACTCTTTCATGTCGTTCCGTTGCCTTTAGTCCATATTAAAAAAAGTAAATTAACTTGGCGCCAAAATGCTAATAAAAATAAAAAAGAAATAATATTATATAGAGATTGATGAGAACTTGAGGGTAAATATATATTGTTATATTTATTATATAAATCTATTATAATATTGTTGAATATCATATAATTGTTTGAAGCACGGATTTAAAGATACATAATAAAGAGATTGTATTTTTATAGTGAATTCTGAAAAATGTAATTGGGAATTCATTTTTATCTCATTATGTTATAAGTCAGTCATGCGCACTAAAATGTCCAGACAGGCGGTGGCGTGGTAGGACGGGTCATTGGGCTCCCTAAAATATGGTTGAGCGCAGTGATGGCTGTCTCACCCGTTATACTCGTGAACGGCTGCTACTCGTAGAGACTGGTCAACTCTAGTAACTATGATTTATAATATTTTGATACTCCCGTAATTAGCTATGTATTGAATGTTTCTATATGGTAGTTTGTATTTTCATAAAATATGAAATATTGTACAGTTATTTAATTAAAATTTTATGTACAGTTGTTTAATTGAGTACAGGCAAGTAATTTGCTGATTTTCTTGTGCAGAATCTGCATTCTGTATGAGTGGTAGAAATAAAAAAAATGTTCTAATGTGCTTATATATATTATGTAATAAAAACTATTTCTATTAAAATTTGATTCAGAAAACTGTAATATATTTTTAATTTAATATTGATATGACAAACTATCCCACTTGATATAGCCACACTATAGTGTAATTATGCAACAATACATATATTTAATTATTTAAAATACGCCTAATTATTTAAAAGGAAAAAATAAGAGTTGACTTTTAATTTTTTGTTTTAATTTTCTATTTCGGATCCGGTTGAATAGAAAATAATAAAAAAAATAAATGGATATATAAATTCAAATAATAATAATATTTGTAAACGATTGAAAAGTTTATTTCAAACATTTCACGCATTCTCTTTTCAAATGTTTCAAGCATTCCATTTTCAAATGTATTGAAATATATAGGTATATAGAAATAAATCAGCTTACTTGTAATAGAAATGATTGTCGTATGCCGCCGTCGTGACCTGGCGTGCAGTTTAAGGTTAGTGAGTCATACGTCACATTGGTTATTTCGCACGCTTTGACCGTCGATGGCTTGTCTGAAAAAAAAAACAATAATGGCGCCAAAACAATCTTTTGCTAGTATTTTTAAAAACTAAGAAAGGTTTAATGTTTACAACGTCAGTACTACTTCATTTTTATAGTACTTTTTTTTTAATAAAAATGGTATTCTTGATGACGATATGATAAAACCATACAATTAACACAGCGCCATCTACTCCCACAGTAAGCAGAGCTTGTGTTATGGGTACTAGTCAACTACAAATGACATTAATACTTAGATATTTTTTATATACATATTATGCTTAGAAAACACCCAGACCGATACAAATAATCATACTCATGAATACAAATTTTTGTACCGTGCGAGGAATCAAACCCACAATTATCGAAAGTAAAGCGGTGTGTAATACCGCTAGCCCACTGAGGCCGTCAAATTATGCCTTAAAATTAGCTGGGAGAGATTATCATACGGCGTTAAGATCGCCTTTTGTACAAAATATTATAAAAGCAAAAGTTTGTGAGTATGTATGTTTGTTATTCTTTCAAGCAACAACTACTGAATGAATTTTGATGAAATCTTACATACAGCTTATGCATCAGAATAATATATAGGCTATATTTTAATGGAATTTATATATTGAAGTTCAACGCGGATAAAACCGCGGGCACAGCTAGTAAAGAATAAATAAATGGTTAAAACTCACCAGCAGGTAATATATGGAAGAGGCACGGCTTTGTTTGCCTTCCAACTGAGTTGATTCCTGTGCATTGGACCCAGCCGTAGTCGGATGATGTGTTGACCATGTACATGAATGTACCTGTCATATAATCATCATTATTTAATAATCTATGTAAAAAAAAAAACTTAAAGCAAAAACTCACGAAAATTGAATGGACGGTGGAGTATGAAATTTTGCACACATAAAGTAATATAGAGATAGATAGATAGAAGATAGCTAATATACTTTTTTTTTAATTATGCATAAAAAATACATTAAATCAATAAAATACATTACACAGCTACATATATACTATATAACAGAACGTTAATAATTTTCCAAATTAATGGTTGAATTTCGAACATTAGTAATAATATTCTAATACATTTTTTTGTAAATACATACATAATATACATAGGATCACTCAGGCCGATACAAACAATACAAATGAATATAAATGTTTGTACCATGCTTGGTTTCGGACCCGGGGCCATCGGAATTAAAGCGCTGTGGTAAACCGATACACTGTATGAAATATTCTATGAAAATTTAATCGTAAGTAATTACGATGTACATGTAAAAATGACTGGATTACTCCAGTCATTTTTACTTGATATCTTAATACATCGGACAGATTTCGTGTCTATTTTAAGTAATTAGTTGTTACTTTGGGGAAGTCCATTTAATTCCCTTACTTATTCTGTGGAAGAAGTGTTTAGAAAAAGAATGTTTAATTGAAAATTTTTTAAATAGGACAATCAAAAATACCACTTATTCTATATATTTAAAAACAAACATAAGAAAAGAAATTATTAATTACCAAAAAGAAATAACTTAAAATGAACAGGTTTTAAGTTATTTCTTTTTGGTGACTTATCAAGAATTTACAATTTTGTGATTAGATTTAATGGAAAAACCATTTAAATTAAAACAATATATAATAATTACTAGAATTATACTTACTGGGCGCGTTTTGTGAAGACGTGATGGGTGAATTAGTTAACTCGTGTTTGATGTGTGCGGAGCTGTTGAACCACCAGTGGTAGGCCATTGATTCCTGTTAAATAAATAATAGTTAGATAAGACAACGTGTGTATCTCCTTTCGAAAGTATACACTCTATCCTGAGGAGATAAAAACCATTGCTCTTAGGAATATCTTTTAATTCTTGTCCCTCACGGGTCTAGGAACGAACTTTGAATAAGGGCGAGCACAATATATCTATACTGATCTCATTGTTACAGGTCTTAGCTCCTAACAATAGCCGAAACCCCCCCAATAAAAAAAAAATAGACAAGACAATAGTTAGACAGGCAAGAATCAGACGAGAGAGATAGAGAAGTTCCGACATAACAGATTGACTTAGTATGGGCATGTTATGCGGCGGATTGAGGAGTATGTCTTAAAGAAAGTATTTAACATGAAGGTGGATGAATGAAAAGGGAGAAGACAACAAGATGAATGAAAAAAAGATGGATGGATGATACAGAAAAGGGCCTATATGGAAGAGATGGATGGATTATGTGAGAGATGATATGTATAAAAGTAGAGTAAGGGCAGATATGACGGCTGTAGGGATCAGTGGAAGAAGAGAACATACTGCGTCGACCACAAATAATGGGATAAAGCTAAGGCAATGATGATGATTGACTAGTCAAGGGTATACTAAATGTAACTGTTACATCACATAGAGGGATTGCAATTATAGCAATAATTAACGTGCCCATATTTCGCTACGTTATTTCGCAGTGTTTAAGATTATTTTTTCTTTGTTATCGGTGTTTCTTTCACCGAAAAGTCAAATATTTGACGTATACAATCTATAGATAAAAAAATATGGAAAATTAAAAATCGACAACTGACATCGCTATGCCCAATTGCTATTAAAAAAATATGCGAAGCTTCAATTATCCTGATATACCAGGCAAGGTGTGAAACATGACCTGTTTTATTTAAGTATTTCTAAAAAATTCATCAGCATCTTAAAGTAGATTTCACGTAAACAAAAGAGGCAAAAAAGTCTTTTATTCCAGTATTCGTGAGGTAATTCGCGAGTTGCGCTCAAAAGTCTTTTGAAATTGGTTTTATTTCTTTCCTGAGTACCTGAAGAATAAAGCTCAGCTGTACAAATTTAAAAGCAAACATTCTTTTTATATATATAAGTCACAGGTCAGCTTGTTTTCTTTTTTCTACGTGACAGTTTTTTGTAAAGAGAACAATCAATGGTTAGGGTCGTTTCACACTGAGGCTTATTGCAAATAACTCTTTTTTTTTTTTAAATTTATTTTGAAAACAAAGTCTAATAATAATAGTCGTCGAGTAAACTGAATTTTAGTCAAAGTAGGTATCTTATGATTGATGTGCATCAATGATAGTACCTATATCTACTAACTCATATATTGTACACTTAATAATATAATAGTATTGTAATAGGGGTGCGATATATGAGTAAAAGAGACAAAGAATACATTGTGACGTATTTGATATAACCTGTCACATCTTCATACTCTGTAATTTGACTGCCATATCTCTGTAAGGATGAATGTACGTAGTAAGTAAGTAGTATATAAGGATTGCTTATTATAATAAACGAGATAGTATACACTCAAACGTTGTACCTATCATTTGACTAACAAGCACCACCCTTATATGGCGACTCTGCCATGGACCTAGAATTACATCTCATAGTAAAGAAGGGAAAACAGTGAATATAAAGAAAATTATAGCTCATTAGTCGAAAGACAGGTTACAAAGCAAGGTATATAGATAGAATATACTTTATTTATAACATACAATATATGTATAGTTACAATAAGGCGGCCTTATTGCTATGAGCAAATTTTTCAAAGTAAGCTGCTTAGCTGAAATAAGTGAGACTGAGGTTCCCAAGCTGACGACTTTTTACCACTACCTCTCCCTAATATTCCAGTGAGTTTCCTACTAGTTATTCTGGATGGTAGATATAATCGGTTTTGTATTATTATCAGGTAAAATGATGATGAATGACGTCATCAAAACGCACTGTGCCAGTCAGAACTAGCCCTTAGTTTCAGTGCGGAAGGTTCCCTGATTTAGCTAGACATATTGCAGGTAGGGATTTGGCTCGCAGCCAGAGTTCTCGTGTACGTCACTTAACTCTGTACGCTTTACTGGGTATTTGTTCTAGCAAAACAATTCAAAGTGTGAAATACGAGTGGAAATTCAGAATTCATATTCAGTTTAATCTTAATTTCAAAGTTAAATAACTTGGTTCAAACGCGCTTGGAGGTGCAGATAATTTTTATTACGTTCGGGATAAAACAAAGAATTAATAGGTATTGTTTGAAGTGGCAGCTGGAATGGGAAACAAGCTAACGGCTCATCTGATGGTATACGGTAAACGTCGCTATATAAAAAAACCTTAAAATAATGATAAGGACAATAACAGGCCACTGTCCCTTAACAATCACATGTACACAATAGGTGCTACAGGCAGTCCTCTTTGGCGGGGCTGCTTTGAAGCCGAAGAAACGGCCGCTCACGTAATCCTGGAGGGTGTATCAGTGGCCACACAACGCAAAATCCTGGGAACGGTGAGGTCGCTCCGTGAGGCTTCTACGCTTCTGGTAAGAACTTGGCTGGCTACTTTAGTAGTCTCGACTTTACACACAGAATGGCTCAAATGAGATTTAGACCTGTATCACTGGGCTCTGGGCTGATAGATCTCTTGTGTTCGATCTTTCTACCTAGACCCGTCAGGGATAAAAATTGAAGGATACTTTTAGGAGCGGTGGTTTTTATCTCCTCAGGATAGAGTGTATACTTATCAAAGGAGATATTTGGTATATGCATGAGAGGGGTTACAACCACATAGGATGTGTAGTGGTTTTTCCTCATATATAAATGCATACTGTAAAATGTGTTTTAGTTTGATGTGTATGAGATATGGTAGTGAGATAAGAGAGTACGAAGGTATAACATCCTAGTTCTTGGGAATAGCAACGAATTAGGAGCACTACACTTGACATATCATAATCAGAATATCATTAAAATAAGGGCGAGTATACCTACTGGCGTCTCTAGTATTAACTGGTTTTATTTTTTACAATACCGTAAAATCAGGCACACAAAGTTCTTCCCGGATTCGAATTTACTACCTATAGAATCTATGTGGCTGTTCGGACTTAAAACCCAAAGGTTGTAATTTCTAATTTGTCCCCTAGACCACCTACAAAGGCTCTTCTAAATTCTATATTCAGATAATAAGAAAACATCTTTAAGAAGCTTGTTGAATACGAGTTAATTGTACCGTAACATTGAAATTATATGTAAAGTATCCAGTTGCCTACTTGTTAGGCTTAACATTATTCGTTAAGTTCGTTTAAGATGTTTTTACAAGAAATTACTCCCTTGTTTCGTATACATTGTATTGTATTTCTTGTTCACTTAGAACGGAGTCAAAAGAATTGAATAAAAATATTAAACTATATAAAAAATATTGACAGAATCACAGAACATAGATTTTTTTTTGTTCTGTGATCAGAATGGGAAGTTTAATGTTGTGTAAATATTTTCTTACACTCGTGCGAAATTAAGACGGAAAGCTAGTTTATAATATGAAAATAATATATTTACGACTATTGTCCTGGGTGGGGCAGTCAAAGGCATTCTAAAATGTAGACGTAGTGAACATAATACTTGATATAACATTTCGCTGAGTATATACTCAGTGCTTGTGTGTATACACACATATATACATTTAATGTAATATTTCGTTTGTTAACGGTGTTACCATTACCGGAGAGTCAATCATGTAAATGGAATAGAAATGGACACGTATAATTTTTTTTTTGTTACAACTAGACACTAACTCACGACATTACGACGTCGGGTTAGTAATAATAATTATTATTAATTATTAGAATTTGGTTGGAAAGTATATACAAAAAAGATTTGATATGGAAATATATAATTATTTTATTTCTATTTTTTTTTAATTTTATTATTATGTAAAGTCCACGTCAAGGTGCTGTTGTATATTAGTTAATAATATACAAACCCCTGCGACTTCAAATGCGTAAAATGAATTTTTTTAATTATATTAAAATAAATTAAATTTCTATAATAAAAGTACTCTAAGTTACTGCTTAGAACATTGGGTACCTGAGTGTAAAAGTCCTGTCAATATTGGTTCAGGTGTTTCAGAGTTAAGCAATAACAAACAGATCGAAAAAAATATTTCTACTATAGTAACACCGTATATACTTTCATATGTACTTAGTGATAACTCTTTCACAATTACCCAGTAATATGTCTTTTATTCTATCCATTGAGGATGTGACAACCATAATCCAACTAAATCACTTAATATTGAAATATGTTTAATAAAGCACACACAGTTTGAAATATCTGCAATGAACGAATTCGATTTCGCTATTAATCAGCTTGCTCTATAGGAAACTATTCGTGAAATATGAGTTTGTAACTCAGTAATAAATTTAATATCAAATTCAAGGTAATTACAATGACGGCGTTGGGATTTTATTCAAAATTGTATAATAAATTTAATAGGGTTGACACATAGCAATTTTATTATCCTAACAGATATTTTTTCTATGTAATTTCATGAATAAGCAAGATAAGGACTAGGCAAGACGCCAGAAATAGAAATAATCTTTATAAAATCTAAATAAATAAACACATTTGAATAGTAATATTTTTTTTATTCTATCACTCATTCGGATCGCAGACTTGCGTGTTGTTCTTTTAAATAAATGATGTTATAAGTAAATACATATTAAGAACAATTAGGCATGCTACAATTAATATAGAAATTTCTATGTATTAAAGAGAAGTAAGTAGAGACCTAGTTCTCTGGAATGGTCCGTAGTAGTTGTTGTCATGTATTCGTATATAGGCGACGGTTACCACTTACCATCAAGTAGGTCGTCAGTTTGTTTGACATTCCAATTACATTAAAAAAAACCTATATAGACAATGCCGATAATTCTGTGGCACTCTTTGTTATTACTGAATTTAATATTTATGCAGTTGACAACCCTGGAAAAATTAGCGCAGCAGAACTATTAGCTTTTAATAACTTTATTGCTTTCCGAGTTAGTGAACTTAAAATGTGCTAACCGAATTTCAACTTTACAGCAGTGAGAACTACGAGTATTATAGTAAAGTACAGAAGGGCATAATAACATCATATATCTGGTCAAATTGCATTTAGTGATAAAATTATAGTATATTTTCTAAATTCAATTTAATCTCCGAGAGCGTTGTGGTTTTGTGGTTTACGACTTACATAGATCCCAACTAGTCGTGAGTTTTAATTTGGTCGATACTAAAATTATTTGAAATTTCTAACTAACTGTGATTGAAACATTGGTAACATATTTTATATATATGTATATATTTGGATTACCGAACTAGTTGATAGCTCTTCTGATGGGATCTCTCGGCCTTTTATACACGTCATATATTTTGTCCTTATCTCTATCGCCCAGTTTAGCTAACTACTTGGTTGACTAAAACTAAAAGAAACTCAACTAGTACATTTTTTTTACCGATGCCGATGTGATATCCGTAGTGCTGTACATGTATGTAACATGAACAGCAGTACGGATATCATATTGTCAAAACATATCAGTCTTAGTTTGTCATCTGTCACAGTGAACACTGAACTCTGAACAACATGTGGGCATGTCAAGTACTACGTTCACTTCGAGTATCGCAATCGCAATGTGACGAAAATAGATGGAATGAAATTAGCATTAAATTAAATAATGATAAAAAATACATAAACATATAACTAGTAAAAATGTCCTACATGTATAACTTAGACTTTCAATATCTAAAAAGCAGATAACACAGTAAAAAAATTTATTGCATTATGCATGAAAGGGATTATTTCGAGTCAGTTTGCAGTAACATTTTAATTATCTAAGTTTTGATAACGATGCAAGTACCTTAGGATTGGCGTCCACTTCACATTCAATTTCAACTACTTCCCCTCTGGCTGCTCTCAACACTAATGGTTGACTTGACTTGCATGTTGGAGAATCTAAAGAAAGAAGAACAATTATTAAATTGTCTACACTATCGGAGCAGGTAAAAGCAGATGATGGACACTATAGATAATTGCTCCGATTTCGCCTATTAGACGACAAATCTTTTTGGACTATTATAGCTCCTAATGATACGGCCAGGCAAGCAAATTAGGACACTCCCAACCACTGTTCCGATATTGCCGCTGATCTTAGTGTCGTATGTCGTAGACGGTTTTAAGAAGAATTGGTATAGTAAAGATTTATGCAGATTCAAGACTTAATTAAGTACCAAAGTCGCTAACAATCCTTTTATAAGTATACGATCTTGTGATTATTCATTCGATCGAGGATAAATGTATATCTTTTTTTATTCCTTATTATTAAGAATTTAACGAAGGTATTGTGTTTAGTCATTTACAGATGCGCAACAAACATAAAATTTTACAATTTTCCTTCAACAGTGAGTGACCAGATGACTATGATATTAGTTTTATCATCATTGTCACTTATTTTTTACTTTTATATAAAAAAAAATATTGTACATAGAAAATAGAATAGTAAATCTATAAAAAATATGATATAGAACTAGTGTGTGTTGAGTTTAGAAAACTGGGCCAAGAATTGTTCCTTGCGAAACACACACCTGAAAAAGTATAATGGTAACTTACACTTAACGTCTAAAATAAGAGTGTCGCTGGACCCTTCTCCTAGACTGTTTCTAGCTGCACAAACATAACCACCAGCGGCCTTCCTGGATACTCTTTGCAAGACCAGACTCTGATTGGCAAGCAAGACTCCAGATCCGGGCTTCACAACTATACCCTGCATAAATAGAATACGTTGTTATTAACATAAAATAAGTTTAGATTAAGTGTTTGCCTTTGGTGAGATTTCATAATTGCAATTTTACTACTATTGTTACCGTCTATTAGCTTGTTATCCTTCTCATAGAAAAATTAAAAGAACTATTATCGAAGAGAAATTCTATGATCTTTTTCTCTTCTATTCATCAGTTACAAGTATGTGACTCGTAAACATATTGAGCCAACTCTGAATGATACAGTATAAGAAATAGGAAATAATTTCATACGCTATATAAAACTGTAAAGATAAATGATTGCCATAAACTACTATTAAGTTGTAGCAGAAAATTTCAGAATACAAATATAAATATTTTAACGAAACCCGATATACGTAACAGCAAAGTAGAGAAAAGAAAACCGAGGCAAAACAGAGGAAATCAAATATTATTGGCTTCTCTACATATACATAGCATAGCATAAAATAACATATCCATATATAGATAACGTCAGGTGTCATGTTTTATTGTGAGTCTTGTAAACTTACATTGTGCATGAAATAGACGTGATTGTGCGATGGGTTCGCCTTGACTCTGCAGTCTAGATATACATCGGACCCTTCTACAACTTTGGTAGCGTCGAGGTTTGCTCCCAACTCTAACTTCACCACAGGCAAATCTGTAAGAGAAAGAATAATTGTAAGGACATTTAATAAACATAAAGAATTTCTATGTAAAAGGTTTCAGACTTTAGCATTTCTGCTCGTTTATTTAACGTCTTTTTAGTACCACAAGTATTTAAAGTGTAATACTATAACAGAACATCCGTGTAAAAGGTAGAAAGAAAGAAGATAAGCTTCGCATTAAATTGTTTTAGCTACATTACTATATAGCCAGAGTTTGTGAGCTAACATATTGTATCTTACATCAACATATTGACCACAAACGCCCAAAGTTTCTATTTAATTTTAAACTGATCTTTCACATAGTAATCCAAATATAAAATTCCTATTTGTATATTAGTGTCAGCTACGACGACAGCTTTGCATGTAAGCTGCTAAGCTTGTTTCACTGTGCTGGGATTTGAAAATTTAAATTAGTAGAAAGTATAAAATTAGCAAATCCTGAGTAGTCCCACGAGCGGCTCATGATGACGTGATGTTCGTTGTGTTATTCATGTATATAGTTAATGATTGCCATTTTCGTATAATTTGTTGTTTGCCATTTGTATACATGTAAGAAAGTATATCACTGTCAAGCAAATTGGCTGCCATCTGTGCCATACTTCAAGCTAGGTTCGTACGGCAGTAGATTTGCTCGATGGTGACTCGGTGGCGATTTAAGGCCATTGTGTCCACATAATAGCGATCAATCAGTGTTCGTTCCGGAGACGAGAATGGCCGCGCTTTGTTGATACAAGTACAATATTCTACAGGCTACCTTCGACACATGAAATACGAGGCTTTTCAAAATTTATAACATATCCACTAACAATATAGGTATACCACTATTGTGTTAAATTTACTCCCTCATCATTGTAAATAACGGAATGTTAACAGCAATGTTTGACAAGAAAACATCCCTTTATGATCGCTTTCATATTCCTTTCAAACGGGTATTAAAATTGAAGACCTGACCTGATATTAGAATACCTAGCAGAGGCTCTATAGCCGATATATCTGATTTTATCCTATTACCTAGGAGAGGCTATCCTCTCCTAGGTAATAGGATAAAATCAGATTTATCAGGGTGGAGATGGCCTTCAGTCTCTTTAAGTTCTGTGAATTTACTAGTCGCCTCCACTTTCATCCGGTTGACATTAGAATGACTCGAAAAAAAAGGAAACCAAGCAAAGAGATTTTTTAAAGAAAAGTTATAGGGTACAGAGGCGTACAAACTTAGTACTCAGAAATCATAAGATATTGTTCATGTACATAGGCTATGGTTATAGCTCCTTTGCTGTAACAATCTTCGCCATGTTGTTCTTCGCCATTCTCTACTTTGTTGTAAAAAGAAATCCTATATACTATTTCGTCAAATTTAAGTTTGTTTATGTTTTGGTTAGGGAAAGTGTGTAGTGTCCAAGCAAGCTCACTTTCTCATTTATAATGCCAGTACGGATTACCTATAATAGAACGCACTTCATTCTACAAAGAGATTTCAAATTAAACTTGGGTAGGTATAATTAATAACTAAGTTGGATTAATTCATTACGAGATTATTCAACTCGCAGTAGGATTTAAAAATCACCGTTTCGGAGAATTATAATGGGATCTAAAAGATTCACATTTGCAATTAATTTTATATTTTCTATTTTTACCTTCTTAGTCTTACAGAAAATGTATAAAGAGTTCAGTCTAATTAAGGCAGGCTCGCTCATTTAGGTCATAATAATTTTTGTATGGTATTTTGCATCCATTGTTTTAATACCAGGACAATTCACACAACGCCATCTAGATCCAAGTTACTTTTTTTAATGACTAGACAAGTCAAGGGAATACTACTAATATTAAGGGAATAATACTAGACAAGTGATACCAATACTTAAAGATATTATTTTTTTAATGGATACATAACAACAAAATGGATATACAACTAAATACAAATATATGTATCGACGAGAAATGGACTATCCGAAGTAAATCGGTGTGTTAAACTGCTAGATCACCTAGGTCGTCACTATTAGGCACATTGATTGAAGTAGAAAAAGTATAATCCATCACATTTAAAATAAGTATTGTTGCTAAGTAACAGTTTGTATGTAACGTGCAACTGCAATCGGAACGAAATAAATTATATTTACTACTATATATGTAATCCACTGAATATCTCTATCAGGGCGGTATAGGTCCAACAGAAATTATTAGTATTTTAACAGATTTAATTTTGGATATGTTTTTTGCTAGTAGTTCTATTGTTTACTCTTCTGTATATTGTTTTATATTATGTATGTTATTTAAATGTAGAGATGTAGAATGTCTTAAATGTAATGGATTAAGGGACCGTATTAGGCACATTGATTGAAGTAGAAAAAGTATAATCCATCACATTTAAAATAAGTATTGTTGCTAAGTAACAGTTTGTATGTAACGTGCAACTGCAATCGGAACGAAATAAATTATATTTACTACTATATATGTAATCCACTGAATATCTCTATCAGTCACTCCCTACGCAAAAACAAATATACTAGTCTTCAAATTTTAAAATCAACTTTACGTTAGCATTAAACTCGGTTTCCTAATGTATACAATTAGGAGAATTTTTTATGTCCTAAAATTTAAAACTCGACTTCAATGTTAACACATTAATTATTTTTATTATTTATTATTGGAGACGACATAATATAATTTTTTAAATTATTATTCACGTATTGGGTTCGGGTCTTGTCGTTAAATGTGTATTCGTATAACATAGTGATTACTTTCTTAATATTATAAAGCCGCATCACTTAAAACGATTATTGTATGAAACTGTGTATACACTCTTATTACAATAAAATTTCTACTTACAATAACATATTACGGGTGGTTACATAGATTCAATTTAGGTTTCATTCTCATAAGTCTAGTGCCAACTCTCTAGGTTCTAAATTAAATTGCTAATACTTTGCGCGCCAAAACAATTTTCTACTGCGCATTGTCTATGGTATATTAAAAAGAGTACATTCTAAATTCACTTACTCAAGCACTTACATGACAATAAATATCTTATTTAGAGATAAGTTTCGATTTATTTAGTATACAATAAATAATTTTTTATTCATAAAACGTTACATATATAATCTAATCTAATAATCTATCAAATCAAAATATCTTTAGTCATGTACGGCTATTACAGACTCTTATGATATGTCAAATTTACCGTCAGTTCGGAGTGCATTCGAGTTAAGAAAAACTGACAAGAAACTCAGCTCTTTTTCTGAGCAGACCCGGCCACTTGCTAACGGCTTTGCTGTGGCTATTTGCAATAAAATAATATTGCGACTATAAGTCGAGATGTAAGTTACCCCATCTTTCAAGTTGAATCAAATTGCACACAATATGCAAATCAAATTTGCAATCGGTTCAGTAGTTTAGAAGTCCATCGCGGACAAACAACGTGACATGTAATTTTTCTATATAAAGATAAACTAATTTCTCCATTTGAAAATACCTATATTAACTTTCTTCAAATATTTCTCTAGTTAAAATGGATTTATTAAAATGTTTTAGTTGGTATGAACAAGGATTAAGAATATTTATTGTTTCTGTTCACTTTGCAATTCTTACTTTATGATACCATCATTACTAAATTTTAATTTTCGCATATTCTTGACCGCCATTTTATGTTAATATATATAGGTATAAATAACCCCTGCACAAATAACACAACTCAACGGTAAGCAGAGCTTGTGTTATGGGTACTAGACAACTGACATAAATACTGATATATCATAGATATTTTTTTCAAATACATACATAATATACATAAAAAACATCCAAACCGATACAAACAATCATACTCATGAATACAAATGTTTGCACCGTGCGAGGAATCGAACCCGCGACCATCGGAAGTAAAGCGGCGGGTAACAAACCGCCGAGGCCGTTAAATAATTATGATAATCCTTACGTTGTATTTCCATCTTCCACCCGTCCTCTTGAGGTAACCGAGATAACGAGGGCTGGAGTGCTCTGCAAGTCAGGTCCTTTCCGGCATCAGTGATGGCTGGCACAAATGTTAGGATGCTGCTCGTCACATTGCCATCTTGAGATGTCTGCCAACAAAACGACAATTAATCAAATGCCGCCTTTTAAAAGATTAAGAAAATAGAGTGACAGTAAAGATAAGAAAGTAAAAGATTAAGAAAATATAGTGAGATACTAGCAGACCCGGCTACGAGTTGCTGAATGCTAAGGTTTTTGAATAAAATAATACTGCGACTACAAATTGAGATGTAAGCTATCCTATTTTTAAAGTTGGGTTAAATTGCACAAAATTTGCAATCGGTTCAGTAGTTTAGGAGTCCATCGCGGACAAATAACGTGACACGTAATTTTTATATATAAAGATTACATGAGACTATATTATTTATTATAGTTAATTTATGACAAATTAATAAAATTAAAGTGTGTGTTTGTAATTTCAAATTAAATCTTTTCTACAAAAAGAAATAATTATTAGATCTTTTGTCTGTGTCTACGTTTTATTTATTTATATATTGTAGGATGATTAACGGTGTAATTTTACATGTTACTAATCGTATTAAACTGTCCTATGCCGATTAATAATCTTCGGTAATAGCATTACTAGATTAAATATGGATTTCGCGTTTGCTTGCGGTGGATGAACAAAAAATTTCTTCAGTTAATCTACATAACACACGAGTACATAGATTTATGAAATTCATATAGGAAATACGAGCTGACCGTGTTTCGAAAATCGCGTGCCAATGACAGAGAGACGATAATAATGATGTATAGGCTCCGTGCCGCGACGCGATCTGTGATAATTTCACTTAGCCGATAAAACGCATCCGCGCCGTCTATGGCCTACGTGATGGTACGGCGGGCGGCTGTGGTCCCACTGACAGCGTTTAACAACTCGTATATCAAGGAGATAATATTTATTTATTTATTCTTTTGCACACAAAAATGGTGGACTGAATGCCTGATGGCATTCTCTACCAGTCAAAAGCTAGTGAGATTGTTAGTAATGAGGATTACTAACTATTGTTAGTAATCCTAAATGTACTCTATTGAGTACATTTTTGGAACTATTCTAACGCTATTGGCAGCAGCTGGCTTTTACAGCTTCACCGAACGATATAAGGTTCCAAACCCCACGTAAGGATTTATAGAATGCCTGAATGCCAACTTTTTCATGGCCGATACGATTATAGTCTCAGAGCACAGCTAGGGGTTCGAACTTTGGTTCATGTCGTCGTCTTTTCAATTCCCGTTTGAAATGTACTGCAGATCGATCGGAAGTTCGTGCTTTCGATCGATCTGCAGTACAATTCATCTCGCGGACGCTCTGCATGTCATCGTGATAAATTCCTGAATACGTCACGATCGGATAACTGACTTAACTTGATACTCATATCATCCACAATTGGAGCTCCGCTAGTAGAGTACCCCATTCCACTATCACCTATTAAAATATGACATAACTATAATTAATTAACAAAAAACTTCATGATGTAAAAACATCGAGTAATCGACACATAACAGCCTGAAAGAATTTAAATACCATAAGTTTAGAAAGATTAAAATACCGAACTTTATAACTAGGTACTATGTCTGTTTGTAGGACCAGTCCCTCTACTCTGACTGATTAATTTTGTTACTCAAGTTAGTTGATATATTTCCACAGTTTTGTTTATCTTGCTATCTTGCTAGTTTGTATTATCACAAAATAATGAAATATGTAATGGAACATTTAGTCCAAAGAGAAACGCACAACTTTCTTGTTCTTTATTGTGATAAATCTGCCTTCCGAATGAATGGTAGAATAAAAATCTTTTATATGACTATTCAAAAGTTCTTATATTATAATTATTAATTTCTAAACAAATAAAAAATTATATGATCAAGATAAATTAATAAAAATTGTTGTTATTATTATTCTATAAATCAATTATTTGCTTGATTTCTATATTGTAACCTCCGCTTACAGTAAGGCAGCACATATTATATCATAACTCATAAATTGCGCAATATCGGAAACAGATGCCTTAACCTTAAATATCTGCGGGGCGAGGGGGAGGGGAATCACAGTACATTTAGGTACAAACGTAGAAATATCACAGAAACGATCGTGGCACGACAACTGGTATGAAACAGTCGAGAAGATAAAGTGGCAAGAAAATATTCGGGAAACCTGCCTCCGAATGTAAACGGCCATTCTTCCAATATTAGTATCGTGTGTAGAACATTTTATTTAAGTTGCGTGTAAATGAAGTGAGAAGTTTTTCTTCTTTCTATCATAGAAATACAATTACATAAACTGATATAAAATCTAAAATAAGCAAGACATGGAAATAACAAAGGGCCTTATCGCTAATAGCAATATCTTCTAATCAATCCTTAAGATGGAGAGGATTAAACTTTGTTTTTGGTCGAAGCATAACAATAAATTATTGTTATGCAATAATTTATTGTTATGCTTCGACCAGAAACAAAGCTACCACGCTAGGACGATTGCTAATTATAATGAGTATTATATTAGTATTAATTGATTTAAAAAATAATAATTTATTATTAATTGGTATTATATAACTTATAGCCTTCATCGATGAATGGGCTATCCAACACTAAAATAAATTTTCCAAATCGTATATATAGTACCTGAGATTATCCCGACAAACCAAATTCACAAACTTTACTTCTAAATAATGTTAGGATAGTCGTAACGATTTTATGAATAACAATAGAATACAATAGATTCTTTTTTCAATAAACTTACAGCTAAGCAATTTTGAATAGTATGACTATTCAAAATTGCTTATTTTTTTAAATCTATCGCTCATTCGGAAAGCTGTCACGAACAGGAAAAACAAACAAGAAACTACCATAATGCACTTTTAAATAATTATTGTATCTTTATATTTTTAAGTTGAAATGTGTGGTACAAACTACTAACTAGAACTAATTCATTAGAGACAACATTTTAAATACACAAGCAACTGGTTGTAACTAAATACGAGTAAATCATTCGTAGTGATATTAAGTACAATTAGATAGCGTTGTGCTAATAATTAATAATAATAGTCTTATTCTTATTATTATTAATAATAACCAGCAAATGCTGCTAAAAATCCAGTAAATGTGTAATGTCCAATGTGTGTACAAGTGTCCAGTATGTGAAAATGAAGCACATAATAATAATAACCCTGGACAATTCACACAGCGCCATCTAGTCCCAAGTTAAGCAGAGCTTGTATTATAGGTACTAAACAACTGATATAAATATATATTTTTTTAAATATACAAATATTTTACATAGATAACACCCAGGCCGAGACATCGAACCCGCGACCATCGGACGTAAAGCGGTGTGCTAAACCATTAGACCACAGAGGTCGTATTATCAGATAAAAACAATAAAGCTCCTTTTGAATCGAACAATAATAGAAATAAGGGTAAACCACATATGTTTAATAATATATAACACATATTGGGAATCGAATAGACACCAAGGGTAGCCATTGAAGCGTATTGTGGGTATAACAATGACTGTTGGATGGCTAATTGGATCCGGATCCCTAATATTAATTTTGTATTAACGTCTGTCTGTACAGTCAGAATATATTTACAAAAATTGTCGCATATATATATAATAAAATAACTTTATTTATTTACTAGATGACTTTGCAATCGTTGTTTTGCCATATAAATTAAATCACTATTACAAAATAGGGTTATTTGTAAACATATGGGTTATATGGAAAATTTAGGTTAATGTATTATAAAAAAACATTTATGCAAAAAATAAAAATAAATGTTAGGGGTGGACAACCCTTATCACTTTTGGGTATAAAAAATAGATAGTAGCCGATTCTCAGACCTACTATATATAAAATAAATTTATTTATCCAATTACGGATTTTGTTTAAATTGGCAGTTGGTATTTTGTGTATATAAACTTAAAATAGATAGTCATTATTGTGGACTAAAATCTATATATATACATTTAGTATAGATAACATATAAAAAAATTAAAGAGATAGAGGTACAAATGTGTGACGACGCATATGAAATTGCGCGGGTCAGATAGTTATCATTGCTCCTTACATATACAATATCTTATTAATATTAAACGCGAAAGTTTGTAAGTATGGATGGATTTTTGTTACTCTTTCACGCAAAAACTACTAAATAGATTTTGATGATAGATAATTTACAGTAATCTAGCTTATACATCAGAATAACATATAGGCTATAAATTTCACGCGGGTGAAACCGGACCGCACAGATAGTATATAAAAAAGATTTTTTTTGGAAAGCATACAAATACACATATATATAAAACACCCAGACCGATACTAATAATAATACGCATGAATACGAATGTTTGAACCGTGCGAGGAATCGAACCTGCGACCATCGGTGAAGCGGTGTGCAAACCGCTAGACAGCCGAGACTGTCAATTATCAATTATATATAGGGTTGCCAAGCCCAAATTTAAAAAATCAGGATCGAAAGTTTATAGAATCAGAACTATCCAGTTTAAAAACAAAACACAGTAATAGTGTTGCAATAGCTATATTAATATGTAGTAAAATTCAAGTATTTATATAATTTTTTTAAGGTTTATAAAAAATGTATTTGATAAAATTATACAGTTGAAAATCAGTAATTAAGGTGCGCATATTTTAAAAACACAGGAAGCAGCCAAACTGTACAAAACTTCCCAGGACACTTCAAAAACTAGGACATGTCCTGGGAGAACAGGACGGTGTGGAACTCTAATTGTATAAAAATAAAAATACAATTATATATGAGTAAAGTCGCGGGGGTGAGTTTCTCTTATTAATAAACCTAATGACGTCACGCTAACGGGTGGCGAATGACGTTCCGTTCCACGTTAATTCACATGCCGTTATTAGTTCCGTTTCCTGTTTGTATACGAATAAATATTAATTGTTTATCATTATTAACGTCCCACTGAGCGGAGGTATTAGAGGGATATTAGCCTGCTATTGCTATGAGGCGGCCCAGTGTAGAAATTTATTAGATACTTACCGACCCTTTGTCTGCATCACACTTACTAAATTTACATTATATCTTTTTAAATTATAGCATATATATTATTCTGATGTATAAGCTACATTACCGTAAAGTTTTATCAAAATCCGTTCAGTAGTTTTTGCGTTAAAGACTAAAAAACATCCATACTCACAAACTTTCGCGTTTATAATATTACTAGCAGTGCCCGCGGTTTGACCCGTGTTAAATTTCAGTAAAAAATATATCTTATATGTTATTCTGATGCATACGCTACATTACTGTAAAGTTTCATCAAAATCCGTTCAGTAGTTTTTGCGAGTATATGTTTAAGAGTATATGTACATACTTCTATGCGTTTGTATGTCAAATACATGGTATTTGTGTAATGTTTTTTTTTATTGATTTACTATATATTTTAGGCATAATTAAAAAAAATATTAGCATTCTGTACTGCTTCTCTATATAAATTATAAGTGAGCGAAATTTCATTATCTACCGTCAGCGCAATTTTTGTAAAAAGGGGTACAACATTTTTGCTTCACGTCTTAATATATAGAAATTTAATTGGATTTCGTAGAAGATGGTATAGTGGTAATTTTGCTCTAAAGCAGTGAACCATAAACAAACGCTCATACGAGATAGGAGGCCGCCGTAAATCTAGCTTTATAGATAAACCCACAGAGTTCCGCATCGTATTTTAATGATAAACTAAAAATATATGTAATCTTCTACGTTGTTAAGTATAAACAGATTTCTTTATGTATATAAAATGGCAAACAAACTAACGGACTGATGGAAAGTGGTATAGGGTCAGGACAAAGCCAGCTACAAAAATACTCATCAAAACTGAATCACTTTTTTAGTTAGTTAGTTAGCGAAGTTTTTTTGGAACTTTTATAAATTACTGGCTATAAACCTTCCTCTTGAATCACTAGTAGCGTAGTTTAAAAGATATAAGCGTACAGACAGTGGCGGCTACTGTGTTTTATACTATGTAAACATTTTCTATTTTCATTTCTGAATTATTCTGAATAATTGCATTGCATAGCATCGCGTACCTACCGCACTGCACAGACAATGACGTGACTATACCTTTAATCCTGTCAACAGAAAATCTACCTGAACTCCACTAGAACTACGAAATATAAAAATGCCGGGGAAAAGTATTGTTAGTAGAGACGTAACTCTACACAACTCCCGGAGAAACCATCGTAGTTATTTCGATTGTACCTATTTCGTTTTGCAAATTTTGATAGGAAAACATTTTTCTTTAGTTTTTTTTAATCATTTTTGTTTAACTTTTTTGTTTAGTATCCTGAAATCGGACACTGTTATTTGGTTTGGTATAACTATGAGGATTTAGCTTGTATCATGCATACAAAACACAGCATGTTCATGATTAATGTGATACCATTTCTCAACAGTGTATTGTCTCAGTCTAGTATTTTTACTGTCATATTGCATTTAGCGTGCTTAAAAGAAAATAAAATTACTAAAAATATATACTTTGAGAAATCAAATTCCAACGTGTGTGTTTTTGAATTAATATTATCCGAGACAGCTACCCCGGACAAAGAATTAGTCTAGCTATTAAAAGAGGACACGCTGCCAGTATCTTCGGAACTTTGCGTAAAGGGACTCCTTTTAATAATATATTTTAGTTATTACATTATATTTTTTAAGGTTGTTAATTTTAAGTTCTTTGTTGTACAATTAGTTAATATTATTAAGTATGCGATATATCATTATTTAAAGGTGAATCGAACCCGCGACCATAGCATGCAAGATTGATATATCGAATATAGCATGCAAAGTTATTTCGCGACAGATATGAGAACAGACTTTACAAAGCGTCCATTCGGTATAGAGAAGTGCTAATATTAAAGTCTGAAGTATATGTCACTTACGGTCTCTTTAACTGTCTTCAGTCTACTGCCATCTTTCCACCAGGATATCGTAGGCTTCGGCCTGGCGCCCACTGATTGGCAGACTAGATCGGTGCTCTGTCCGGCCACCAGGGGTCGCTTCCCGCCTTGCAGTTTGACCCAAAGTGGGTGTACTGTGAACAAAAAGAAAATATATTAGAAGAAATTTATAAGATATTAGAAGAAATTTAGCACTTTTGAATAATTATATTTTTTTAATTCTACCAATCACTCGGATAAAATTAGACTTCTGACAAAAAATTGCATGTTGCTCTTATAAATAAACTTTGGTTAGCATTCAAAATTTATTATAGATTGTTGTGTCTGTTTAAGATGTGTGTGTGTGTGCATAAGTAAATAGTTTTTGAGTAACAATAAATCAGTCATGATTAATAGAGGAGACCAGTCAACAGAACAGACAAACAACACCCGTTCATAAGTATAACATAGTTACGAACACATAAACAAGAATTTTTGAGTATATGGATGATAGGATGTGTTGAGGATGAAGTTAGCAAATTGTGGCGAATTCACCAGTTTATAACTACCAGTGTTTCCGGAGGGGTCCGTGTAGAGGTCGCCTTAATAGAGTATATTACTGGCAATGGGGCTATGACTTCCTGTTGTTAATAATGTCCTCCCAATGCCCGGATACAAATATTAGCAACTCCAACTAACAACAATATTCAAATACACTGTTGTAGGGTAGAGATAATATCCTAAGATGGATACGGATATGGGTTTTTCTTCCATCTCGGATACAGATCCAGAACATTACTAATTCCTATACACTGCTGCAGGGTGTAGTTACCAATAATCGATATACCTATTATATATAAAGCAGTAAATAAATATCGCCTGGCATTTAAAGGGCGATCCACATTTTTATTTAAAAGAACAAAGAATAAAAAATAAGTTAATTTAAGAATTCCTGACACCGTAATGTTCGTTGTCTCGTTAAACAGTGACATACAGCCAAAAAGAATAACGAACCATTGGATTAAAATAATAAGATAAATAACAATATGAAAATTAATAAAAAAACTTAGTATAAGAAATTTTACCCGCAATATTGTGTCGGAAGCGGCAGTTAAATCATCCATTTTTCGATACAAATAAAACCTTTTTTAAAAGATTTTCAAACACACGAATTTGAATACCTTTTTTGGTTTAACTACTGTACTTTTTTTTTATTTTTATACAACTATGGTGGCAAACAAGCATACGGTCCATCTGATGGTAAATGGTTACCATAGCCTATGGACGCTAGAGACACCAGGGGTGCCACGTGCGCGTTGTCGACCAAAACTCCATGAAATTTATGCTTGTCAACAGGCTGTCTTACAATTCTATAAGACAACCATATTCGGTCTTTCGCTAAATAGCTTTTAGTATAAATTTACAATAACATACATCTATTTTATAAATATATAGATTGAAAAGTTAAAAACCATTTAATGCAAATACGTAAGCAATTAGTCTATAATATGTATCTAAAGCTGTATTAGCAGGTTCCTACGAAATTGGGCTGGGCAGGAAGAGAAACACGAGCGGAACACGAGGTGAGTCGTACATCGGCAAAGGGGCCCCTTAAACCTACAGCCGGGTCAGAAGTCCCAAGAACTGCTCGGAGTTTCCCTCACTGCCACAAGATGGATCAGATAGATAGATCACAGGCACCCGGACGGTGAATCTTTTGAATGTTAAGAAATTCGTATCAAACATCCGCGCAAATATAAACATTCGTACTCATGAACACAGAAGAAAAAAAAGGATCTAGCCGTTGGGAAATTGAACACAAAAGTGTACTTAGTTCGTAGATCTAAACCATTAGACCGACCGAAATCGTTCGTATATTCTCGTATAACGTTTATTCGCCGTTTTTTACGTCAGTGTGTCCCGCCTAAAATAAATTGAATTTTAATGATCCAATTGCATAAAAAAGAGGTTATTCTATTCCGTTGTCGGTCAGTAGCTGTCGTTAGGGTAAATTGAAAGAATTTACATATGCATATTAAAAGTTCATCTATCAATGAACAGGATTTGTTCATTAGTTGGTATATACAAAAAATGGTGCGCGGACTCAGTTGAGAGGGTTCCGCAGCATTCTCGATGGTTTATAAAACTTGCTTTTACACGCGATTTCGTCTGTTTTGTCTCATATTCTCTAATAAAATACGGTACGACAAACAACCTCTGTCATACATCAGTGAGAAAGTGTGTATCCACAAGTCTATCTACCATTTTGCTTCTACCACCTTTCTAAGAACAATTTTTTGATGAAACTTGACGTTATAGACAAGAACGGATATATAATATCTTTTATCATAAAAGCACAACAGCTAGTAAAGTTATATATATTAAATCAAACAAGAAGTTCCATACTAAAGAGTGGGCGGGAAATAGGTCTTGTAGCATTAGACAGAGAAAATATTGTTAAATTTCGCGGATAATGAAGTCGTCCCTTTGCCTTGAGAACTGTCGGCTCTTTTTCTATTACGTCACAAAGAACAAAGACGTTTGTACATTTTAGGTTATAAAGTAATATTTTTTACTTTGATACATAAATTTGTAATATATATCCCTGCGAAATGTCTTTGTTAGTATCTTTGTAATTGGAATAAAATTATTGGTGTACGTCTATTACAGACTCTTATGATATGTCGAATTTACCATCAGTTCGGGGCTTAAGGGAACTGACAAAAACACATCTCACATTCTTTAGAAATTTATGAATTATTATTAGTATTATTAACATCTGCCTCATTTTCACAGTTTTTGCTGGTTAGTTACTCTATGTGGCTTATAGTGTAAAGTGTAGTGGGCACTTACGGGCCGAAACCAAGTCAGTTTCATTTTTTTCTGACTATTCTAATGCAGCTGTCCTGGCTGGCTTTACAGCTTCACCGGACGACACACGACGGCGTCGCCTAAATACATACGATAAAGATTCATAGATGCATGTGCAGGAATACAGAATGTATGTTTCTTTTTGGACTACTCTAATGCTGTTGGCCGCAGCTGGCCTTTACAGATTCCTTTACCGCAGCAGCGCGCGTACAAGCAGCTAGATTTGTACGCGGTTTTAACTCAAACTCAACCTCAAAAAAGTATGCCTCAACATACGAGCATAGGGGGGAAAGGAGATTGTTAGTAATGTGGACTTAATGTACCATGAATAGCAATGTACCATGTCAGGTTGACCTCCACGCGGTTCCCCCTGGAAATCATCGTGATAAATTCTTGGTGAATTTGTCACGATGCGCTAACTGACCTGACCTCTTGTTCATCTTACCATCCTCCACTGGTGCCCCGCCAGCGTAAACCGTTAGCGCAGGCGGGTGCACCATTCCATTATCATCCTTAAAAAAAAAACATACGAGCATAGATATACATAAAGGTAACAGTTAAAAATCGCACTTCTAAAACCTAGCTCTGACATGAAAGAGCCAGGTTGAAACTGTATGAAAGAATCAATATGTTTTCTTTGTATTTTGTATATACACATATAACTTTATTGTACTTTGTATTGCTGTGTAAATTAAAATTAAAATTGCTTGATAATATCACTCTGTTCACACATTTCGATGAATTCATGAGGTATCTGTTATTGGCTTTAGTAATAATGAATATGTACTTTATTTATTTACTCATTTATATTCCATTGTAGATATATTGTGTTGCTGTTCCCCCGACTTCGTCCGCGTGGAATAATGATCTTAGACAGCATTTTAATGATATATTTATTTTATTTTACCTCTTTAAGAGTAAAATTTTACATAATTTGAATGTTATGTTTATATTTAATCAACAGCCTAAAAAATAAGAGACAAGTTTCTAGCTTTAAAATTGATGTTACTTCCATACAACATTTCATCTCCCCTTTCAACCCCTTACAACCTTTTTTCACATTAAAAAGTAGCATATATCCTTTCTCAGGGTGTAGTCTATCTATGTACGATATTTCATTTAAATAGGTTCAGTAGTTTTGGCGTGAAAGCGCGACAGACAGACAGAGTTATTTTCGCATTTAATAGTAAGGATAAGCTGTTGATTACTTGAAATAAATCTTATTGTTAATATTATAAACGCGAAGTTTATGAGTATGGATGGATGTTTGTTATTCTTTCACACAAAAACTACTGAACGGATTTTGATAAAACTTTATAGTAATATAGCTTATATGTACCTACATCAGAATAACATATATAAATTTCACGCGCGTGAAAGTATGGACATAGCTTGTAAGAAATAAAAATATAATTATCACATTTGTGTGACCTACGCCTTATATTAGGACTATAACAAACTTTTAGGCGTATCTTTAGACAGCTTAATTCAGGTCTGTACCGAATATTGGCCGGCTTAGACAACGTCCATCCCAATATTTGTCTAGAAAATTGTATTTCGTTCTAGGAATTTGTTATCCTTTTTAGATACTTTGACAGCTGTATGCCTAGAACTATAATTCTTACCAGAAATAAGCTTTTACCCGCGTCGGAATTAATTTTTTCATATTAAAAATACAATTTCTAAATTAAAAGTAAGTAGTAGGCTAAGTTACTCTCCGTGAAAGAAAAAGTCCAGTTGGTGAAAGTTACGTCATAATCGGTCCAACCGTTTTAGAGATTAGCAAGATCAAAGACAAATATATTTTTCTAATTAATTATTGATGTGCCTTTGATATATGCGAATCAAATAATTAATAAAATTAGTTGGTATACTTTCATGAGCATTTAGTGATAATCTTTGAAAATTGAAAAAGATATTGAATATTGAAAACACTTTTTATTTTATTTATTTGCACAGATATATTATATGATCTGTTACTCAATACTCATAGTATTAACATCGCGCATACTGCCATAATGCGCTCATTATCCTACTGCGCCTGCGCGCCGTCCGTATATTTTGAATCTGTGGCGCGTTGCGTTTGCGCGGGAAATACTATCTACAAAAATGACTTCTTCTACAGACATTCTTCAACTATTGTACTTCTTATTGCTGATTATTTTATACTTTTCTATATAACTATATATGTTCTAAATTTACTTTTATTTTAATAAACTACTTATTACTTATTTATTACAACCAAAACTGGCATATAAATAAAGACCCTAATCATACCACTAAC